ATACACATTATATATATATATATATATATATATATATATAATTATATATAATTATATAGTATATATTGTCGGATGATACAATATTTCTAAATCAATTATGTATTTAGCCGAATGATTTACAAAGGCATACAGGAAGTAGAAACGGAATAATTCAAAATCATGTGACGAGTTGTTCGAAAGTTGTTCGAAACTTGTAAAGTTTGTGTGTGTTAAGGTTCTGACTTATTCGTTGCATCTCGCTAATCGACACGTCATACTGTACACACGCCACGAAGTACCTATAACGATGAAGTATCTACCGGAAAAAGAGTGAGTATGTGTAGGACTCTATTATAATAATTTTGATTAATTAATTAATTAATGAGCGACACATTAAAAGTTGTTATGCTTTTTCCATTATGTAGTGAATTTAATTTTAATGTGATTATTACAGTGTGGTTATTTTGTTTTAGCAATATCTAACCTTTAACGATTTGTTTATGGTTATGAGGATAACGGTGATGTGATGAATTTATATTCATGAGAAACCTGGTTTAATTAATAGGCCATTCAATAAGGTACAATGACATGTGGAAGAAAAACAATTCATTGATAAACATTGTCTTGCTTGTTATGTCACAGAAACAAATTAGTACAGGCTATAAACAGAAAGGACTGGCCAGCAGTAAGGAACACCCTTGAAAATGAACCACACCTTAATGAAACTCATGACGAGGCAAGTACTCAGTTATATTTATTTAGATATTCAAAATCTATAATAAACATTATTGGTTTAATTAAATTTATTTCATTTTTCTTCATTTCAAATATCCCAATTAAAATAGTGAGCCATTGTATGGCTGTAGTAATTGTCTCTATAATATTATAGCGCGCGCCTTAGACCTACATACAAGTTTTAGTAGGTAGGCATACAATTTTAAATCAATATCATATATTATAGACTAGAATTTCAGTAACAATCATCTATCTGAACATAAATCGTGTTTACTGTAATCAGAGATTTCAGTATGAATTATTATTGATAAAGATACATACCGGTAATCAACAAATTACTGTAAAGCAATTTAAAAAAAAATGAAATTCCTGATTCCATGCTAAAATTAACCAACCATGAAGAGATGGTTATTTAATAATAAAGTTGGATAAACCTTTGAGCCGATAAGAACATAACCAGGAGCATAATAAAATTGCAGTAAAATAAATTTAAAGAATAACAATCGATAGCATTTGAAAAAAAGTAACGGTTGATTATTTAAAAATCTACAAATTAAATAAACAATATTGATGATTTATATGCAGAAAATATATATTAGGCCTATTCAATTTAACCATGATTGAATATTTGGCCATCTCAGAGGCGAGGGGTCTATTTGAAGTTTTTGTCTTCATACCATTATTCTAATATTGTAACCAATATTATTATAAATGGTAAAACTATCTAACGCTGACACCAACACGGTATTCTTAGTCTAGGTTTTGGGGCTTGAAAATATCCTCTACACAATATTATTCACACTGTACTTTAAGTACAAACCGTGTGGCCAATATTCATTTAATTTCTATCAAGCCTACAAATTAATTCGTTAGTTAATAGACTTCTGCGAAGATTCCCCTGATAACTAAAAATACAAGTTTAGCGCCCTCTGTTGTTCAACAATATAATGCCTTTGTACTTTAATATTGGGATGGCATTCAATATCATGTTGAATCAATATCATACTATTTACTTCGCCTTACAAAAACCGTATACAAAGTAATCTAATGATGCGTTTATAAAAATAGATACAGGATAAAAACGTGCAGAATTTTTTAATACGACTAATATCAATGTGTAATACACATGTTTTTCGTTAAATTGTGAATAAAATAATAATATTAATAATAATTGGCGATGAATGGCTATAAGTAAATTTAGGCCCTAAGTAAATCAATCTAATTAGACGGGTTTGAATTTACGTGCTAATTAGATAATTGTTTTGAATGATATATCGTACTGCTGATTTAAATTGGTCTCCCTCTTCATTTCAAATGTCCAAACTTTGATAACTTTCAGTCAATTGTGGAATGCTTTCTTGTTCCTTAACACAATAAACTTGAATTTGGATAAAATATTAACCAGCGGTACTTAAGAAATTAATAAATTTTAGTAACAGTATCATATTCATAAGAATATGGGAACAATGATATCTAGTTATTTTAAAATCCAAACTCAAAAAAAAAAAAACGTTCATGTGTTAGCGAATAGGCCTATGTTTGGAAAATATTATTTTATATATTAATTACTTACATTGTATATTTTATTAGGTTAAAAGTTTCATTAAAAAACAAGCATCGGTAATTTACAGACGTACAAAATAATACGTTCTAATATTCCTTGACTACTAAAATGGTCATGTGGTATTCAGTCTAGGGGCTTTAATAGGCCTGCTCTAAAGATCTATCTATACCCTAACTATTTCTACTTAGACTAATTTTACTCGTGCACTTCTGTTTAATGAGTACATACATTACGTACGTTAAAAGAGTGTGTATCACTTGGGAGAAACACAATTAGACCAACATTAAAACAATTTCATTTACACTCGCCGTTGTCAAGTATTCTCCTTTTTTTATAAAATTAATTATAATACATGGTTCACGCAATTTTACATAGGCCTACTATACTATACTGGCAAAACATGGACATGCTAATATAATTTGTTAAAATACTAATTACAAACCATTTCCCAACAACTAAACGTTTATGTTTAGACCTATTCACTAACACCGGTACCGTACTCCCTTTTTAATATAACTTATAAATAATTACATGTTTCACGCACGAAATATTTACAAGGGGCATAAAATATGGGCGGACTATAATACTGTACTAACAAAACATATACATGCTAATATCATTTTTAACATACTAAACATGACGATGGTCCAACAAAAAATAAGTTTAATATGTCTAGACCTTTTCACTGACACAGTACACCCTACTCCCTTTTCCAAATTACTTCTAATATTACAGTATTCTTCAAATGATTGCGCGTATTATAAGACACATTTTTAACTGTTTATGATATAATTATTCTTTAATGATATTGGAATACCATCGTACTATTGAAATTATGAAACTCTTAAAAAATAATGTTGGTAGTTGTATGTATCGTAATTCAGAACAATTCTTGTTTTCGTATAAGATCGGCGCCACGCCATTAATGTACGCCGTGTCTCGCCACGCACCAGATGACGTATTGGAGAATATGATAGAAACGGCGTCTGTAGAGAATTTAGGACAACAGCAGGTGAGGGGAATTAGATATCACTGCATTTTAAACATCACAAGCACACAACATATATACAACATACAAATAACAATTACAGTCAATTACAGTTATTTATTACAAGTAGGGTTGAAAATGATACTTTTATTTCATGATTTATTTGACATCTTTTCAACACAGAAAAAAAAACAATGGCCATTAGGATGGATATTCAAAATGAAAATTATAAAAAATATATTTTGCATTGACAGAAAATATTGATGTTTGATTTTGTTTTTATTAATACAGTTTACTGTATTGGTGACAATAAAATTGTTTCACAAAAAAGGTCTTTTGCTAAAAAAGTTATTTGGAAATAATTTGTGTGTAAATATAGGCCAATTGATACAAAAACACATTTCAAAAATACATAAATAATGCAATTAGTATTTAATAATAATGAATGTAATAAGTAATGTATGTGTGATGTTTGTGAGTTGTTATGTGCTGTTGATATGTGGTGTGTGTGTATAGTTTCTTGTTGTTTATTATTTCTCTCATCATATTCTACATTTTTCTTTTAGCGTTTTGGTGGTTCCACTATTCTCAATCTCTTGGCATTCTTCGCACGCGTGTCAGCAATGAGATGCGTGTTGGAAAGAACAAACAAGAACATTAACACACAAGACGACGTGAGTAGAGTAGAAGAAAATATCACTTTATTCATTGCTAACAAATTAACTTTAATTCACTCACAAACACATTAACATCACCTTCTAATTTAGTATAGTAATCTAATATTATTGGATATAATACGGCGTTATAATTTATCATCTTTACAACTTTTTGAGATTAGGCTTATGTTTACTTTTTTTCATTATAGACCTTTAACTACTGAGTAAGTATAGGCCTACCGTACTGCCCGTCAAGTATTATAATGTAACTAGCAATATTACAATAATATGCTTTTGAACACCATTATATTGGATTACTATTGTTATATTGTCATCATCGGCATCACATTCGTTATAGTATTAGCTTGAATAATGTCATTTCATTATTTTAATATTTATTAAAATTATTTGTCCTCATGATATATCATCATCATCTTAATATTATGATCAATGTTAAAGAAATAAATTTTAATGCCTAATATTATCATTATTGCATAGTATAATTGGCAATACTAAAGTATTAGGCCTGTGGTTATTAGGCCTATATTATTTCAGGTACTTTTACGTTGGCGTAATAGGCCTATCTGTTAATTTATTCTTGTGTTGTGCGTGCACGACAAACTTGACGTTGATTATCATTCCATTGCAGTTTGGACGCACACCACTACATGACTGTCTAGGTGATTGGGGGATGCTGAGTAGTTATGAGGAACACAGACAGACGGCAATTTGCCTGATCACCTACGGCGCGTCTGCCGCCATAAAAAATAAGGTAATATCATGTCAATGACTTTAATACAACAACGGTGTATGAAACTACCAGAAACATTTTTACTAATCAAAACCAACGTAATAAATATAAATTCATAAAACATTATATCAATTAAAATCATAGCACACAATGATGTTTTTTTTTAAAGTATGATTTCAATAAATATTTTTAATTGTGATGTGATAATAATTTACAACAATAGTTATAAAGTTGTAATGTTAATAGTGTTGATTATTTGAATGATTATCTATATCATTTTATTATATGATTATTTTATTAAACCAAAATATACCACTGTTTTCGGTCGATTTAATTTATAACCGTCTGGCAATGAAATGGATCACCGCGTGCTCGTGTTTGTTATTGCAGGATGGAAAGACGCCTCTTGATGTGTATGATGAAAACGAATGTAAACGATACGAAGACACCACAAGAAAGAAGAAGAAGAAAGAATTAAGAGATTTACTTGAAGGTACAATAACACTTAACTTACACATTTATTCTATTATTTTTATAATAATTCGACACAATAATATTATTTTAAACAATGTTACCTAAACGGTCTAAGAAAAGAACGAGCCATTTAACGAACGTCAGTAATAGTATTCCCATTGTCTGTTATAATACTGTAAAAAATGTTATCGTAATTAATCAAAATACATGTAATTTAAAGGGTGAATTTAATAACAACTATTAGTATAGAAAGACAACATACTAAATATTTAATAATTTGATTTTTTTTTTCTTTGTATGAACTATCAACTCTATCAGAGGTTTTAGCCAGGGGTCCCGATGCTGTCAAAGCATTCAAAGATGCAACAGACGGTGAAATAACAGTTAATTCAAGACTGACGTTTCTTGGTCAAGAGGGTTTAGGAAAGACATCTTGTGCCAAAGCCATGCTTGGGAAAGAGTAAGTAGGCCCACCGGATGATTTTGGTATAACTTTTAAAATGTACGCATGTCAAGTGCGAGATGAAACTGAACATTTAAATTTCCTTTTGAAAATTACCAGATTCTATAACGTCAGGTGGAGTTTTATTAGTAATTAGACAACTGCTTTGTAGACGATCCTTATAAAAGTGAGGAGAGCCTCCAACAACAAACAAATCTTTCTTTATTCTGGAAAGCTCACTTCAATACAGTTGATGTACTGATCTCCCAAGAAAGTTAAGAAAATTAAAGAAATAATAAAAATTGGCTTCTAGCATTTTTCGGGTAGAGTGATCATGATTTGATTACTTAAATATAATGGGGCAGACTCCTGTAGACATTTAAATATCATAAAATATCATATCGTTTTCCCATCTGTCATGGACACACTTCCAGTTTATCATAGACACTGCTCAGTAATGGGTGTACATAGCCTATCAGCATAAAGACAATTCTAGCTAGTATATTTTGCAGAATCTGAAGGCGATTAATTTTTACAGAACTAAAACGTGATATGACAAAAACATTACTACAATTATCAAAACAAGGAAGTACAATTACATTAGCAAGCAGTCTTAACGCAAAATTAGGATAATCTACGAATTATGCCAATACGTTGTTATAGTCTTAAATAGTCAACAACACTAATTTATGTTATGATATTCATATTTGTAACCTATTGCATATGCTATATAATAATTCATGGCTTTCACTGACAATGCTAGTAATTAGTATTATCATTATTCTTATCGCTATCGATCATCACCCTTCTCATTATTGTAATTATTAATAGCCATTTTTAATGTGTTGCTGCAAATTCAAATATAGATTTAATGAAACAGAGCCGTCAACTGATGGCATTGATACGACGACTGTCTTTCAAATCGATGAGGATTACAACAAATTGGAGCAGAAAGATGTAGACGGTATGATTCTTAATACAAAGATTTAAACGATGTACAATTTAATTAACAAATTAACTGCTTAATGTAATGTATTAGTTATTTTGATTATTCTTTGATTTTAATTACCCCTTCTTTTGGTGACTGCAACTGTGACAGATTGTGAAGTAACCAAATAGATACGAGATGACGGTATCGATGAAATTGACCCCACTGATGAAATTGTTCCTAAAATGGATGGAAGTTTCAATGTACTGTTTTTGAGAAAATATTTCAATCTAAGCTAATCATATTTAAGAAAATGTTAAGTCACATTATACTTACCGTAAGTCTCTCATATAGGCCTATATGACAGTGACAAGACAGATGCGGTTTCAGAAAATATAACAGAAAGCAATCATTGACTTTTTTCTTTTTTTTTTCTGCCAAAGCAATAATTATTTAATAGTAAAATACATAATACCAGTGATTTTCAGAACAAATCAAATCAGCATATTCATATTCAAAATATAAAAAACAATGTATATTAGACCACTTTTAAGTTTTCTTAAGATTATCATTTCACAACAGAACAATTTTTCTCAACTACAACAGTTCTTTTCAGAACTATGTGGTGTACCACAAGCTTTAACATATATGTTATTACTTCACCATGCGAACCTTCAAACAATACTTAGAACAATTTTTACAATCAATTTTTACAATCAATTTTCTCCCTTTTACAGTATTTAAGTAAAACAAAAATTGTTTCCTTAATGTTAAGAGTGCTGTCATCCTTGACTTTTAATCACACAGCCATCGGGAAGAGGCACCGCCCAATTCCTCCCCTCTGTGTTCCCTCCGTTTCCGTTCCCTCGTCCGTTTAAAACGTTTGTCTTGTTACCTGCACAAGTGCCGTTTTCTAGACCCCTCCTGCAAATACCCTAATCCCTCAGCTTTAATGTGTACATTATTTTGTAATTTTCTGCAGATCTCTCTGTTGTTAAGAAAAGAAAAATACAACACTCGGACGAATTACTTATAACGAAAAAGCTCAAGACAAGTGAACAAATAGCAATGGAAGGTATACTAATGTTGTCTTTTAAAATTATTCAATTTGATATGCACTGATTTTGAATGTAGTAAATCAGAAATGTAACAATAGCAAAAAAAAACAACATATTAATGGAAAAATGTTATATAGCATAAATATTGACATTTTAAATTACTAATTATTTTTAGCATTATCGGATGAGGAATTCAGCATTCTCAATACTTACATCTCACAATGGTATGACAGCCACAAATGTCTTCCTATGCTGAAAGTGTTGTTTAGAGATAAGCTGGACAATCACGAGCTATCACAAGTAAATGGCACGATGGACTTGCTGAATAAAATATTGGCACGTGGTCATCTGAGTTCACAGAATCTTAGAATCCTCTGTGATACCATTAGCGTAACTAAACATTTTGGTCTTTTATTGAAGATTAAAAAAAAACTACCATCATTCCCGGATGTTAAAGAAGGAACCATTTCAGGCTCATTCACACCTCACAGACAAAAGCTAATGAAATTTGGAATGGTACTGTCTTCAGGCGATGTGAAGCAGATTGATGGATTGTATAATAAACCTTGTAAGGACTATACAGATAGATGGAGCATGATCAGTGATCTAGAACACCAACAGATTATGAGTGAAGATAATATAAAAAAATTCATTGATAAAATGAAAATCCTCAATCTTCCTCTAGCAATTAAGGCACTAACATAGGTATTTTAAACTTTTTTAAATGGGTTTTATACATACTTTTATATTATAAATATTATGTTAGGTTGACTGGTAGAACACAAATTTATTAAAATATAACAAAATAACATTGTACATTGTTCTTTTTTTTAAATCTTATTGCACTTGGACATATATATACATATATATATATATATATAACACATCTAGATATATATATATATATATATATACATATATATATACATATATATATACATATATATATATACACATATATATATAAATATATATATACATATATGTATATACGTATACATTTATGTATATATACTACTCGAGGGGTGCAGAATGATGTTACTGCATAATTTAGGTGTGGAAGTATAAACGAATTGCAAATTGTAATTAATATATTGGTAGGAAGAAACTTTTTAAATCTTTAAATGACACCAACGGTTTTTGAAATATATTTAGCAATGTTAGAACTATGGTGAACTATTATTCATTAAATTTATATACAATTAATAATTGTTTTAATTAGGCCTTTACTGGTTGTATTTTTATATACAGATACACCTTGTTTTATATATATGTGTATTATAACTATGTTTATTCCTATTTTATTGAAATCATCGGTACTCAAAAAATGAAACTGTAAAGTGTACATGCATAATTGTACCGTCAGCCTGAAGGTTGTCGACGTACGTAATTGTAATAATATAAACATTATGTTTTGTAAACCTAATTTTCTTATGTGTTAATGTTTATTTAATGTGTATGTATATATGCATGTATGTATTTTTGTATATGTATACATGTAATAATAATAATAATAATAATAATAATAATAATAATAATAATAGTCTTATATAGCACATAATACAAGAAAGTTGCCCCTTTGCACATTGCATTAAAAAAAAAAGAAGAAACATAACCATGAAACATCCTAATACTATAAAAAAAAAAAAACTAATAACGAAAAAGAAGAATCATTTCCACTGCTCCGTACTCCAGCATTTTGAAGCCCCTAAAGTTAGGGGCTCGCTGGAACAATATTCACAGGAGCTTTAGTGAAAATCTAGCTAGCCTATCCTACAATTTAATAAGTAAATAAGATGTGAGAGCAAGTTTGCTGAGTGGCTAAACACCTAAACGAACGGCGAAAAATATGTTTCAAAAATATGCTTTTTTTTAAGAGACTTCTTGAAAATTTCCACTGAAGTTGAATTTTTGAAATGTCCTCCCATAAGAGAAAAAAAATTATGGTGAACAAAGTGACAATCAAATACTCCAGGGAACTTTGCAACATCTGTTTGATTAAAATTATATGGTGATAGTTTATACGGTTTATTTCTTTCTAAAAATAACATACTTCGTTTTTTTAAATATTAACTGTTAATTTGTTGGCCATTTAGACAATTTTGAAAGTTCACTTTCCATAACATTGTACGTTTGGCGTAAGCTTTCGTTATTATACTGGTATCATCAGCAAACCTTACCAGTTTTAATGATTTACTAACATAAGTTAAATCATTTACATATTGGAGAAACAACAATATTTCTGTCTTCATTTATTCAGTTTAAAATGCCTTACAATAAGATTTGCATTTACATAATAGATACGAAACATTTAATTATCAATCAATGATGAGAAGTATGGCGTGAACATGATTTATAGGCCTACTGTCTGTCAGTCAGTGCAATACATTTACGCCACATATAATTAATAGATACAGTAGGCCCTAATATTAATATATCGTTGCTAATGATTTAAAGTAAAACATATAAAATAAAACAAATTTTAAATTGCTTAAAAATATAGGTTTCCATCTATAGGTACCTATATATTATCATCAGATTTTAATACATAGTATTTATTCTAATACATTTTATTTCACATGATTAAATACCCCATTCCCTCTTTTTCGTTTACTCTTGATTTAGTTATCACTCATTATTGTGAAATTCCTTTCTATTGTCGTTAGCATTCGTGTGGTTGGCACTCTCACAACTAGATGCTAATGCTTCCGAAAAAGAGAGCGGCCTCGTCGGCCTACGGTCACAACCAGTTTTCATGGTTGTCGATATAGAGGGCGGAAACACTTCTTTTTCTTCCGGCTGGTTTCTATTCTGCAGAGTGTCTGTCGATTCGTTTTCCAAACACAGATGCGCACGCCGTTTTCTTACTGGTTAACAGTAGAATTATCCATGAAATTAAATACATTACAATTACATAAATACATATATTATGAATGATATTCATAAGACATTAAAATTGTCTTAGATGTCATAATATTATTCTAAGTAGGTTTATATTAATGCTTAGGCCTATTTCATTTCATTTCATTTTATCTGGAACCTAAGGAGTTATTCTCACGTGATACATTTCATTCGAGTATGATATTTGATATTAATTTATGACTGTTTTAGTCATTATTTCTATCTTAGTCGTGCAATAAGGAGATGAACTACTTTCAGAGATGTTCATCCGTTCATCCTTCCCTTCATTAGCGGTTGCCTTCAATTTTTCATTTTTGTTCTTGATGGTAAATACTAGAATTTCAACAATTAAGACAGTAAACACGTCAGCACTACCAATTTTCTTTCCGGTTACTACTATTACATTATATTGATAGTTGCCAGGGTGAAAACGCAAAGTAGTCAAGTAGGCCTATATTATCTAACCTTTGTACATGTCTGTGTAGTTGATGAAAGCGTTGAGGGAGTCCCACATGAGATATGGGACGGGTTTCCTATTTTCTGACGAGGGAAGCTCTTCTGCCTCAATCACTCTGGAAATTATACTTTGCTTAATGTTTGAAGCAGACTCCATCGGACGAGGTAGCTTTTTATCCGGTACCTTCAATTGGAATAGCAATAAGGAAGTAATCTATTGAATCATCATAATTATTTTCTTCATCATCTGAACATCTGTGTGACTGCTTCATGATCTCATCATCATCATCATCATCATCATCATCATCACCATCATCATCATCAAAACTATTTCTCCCTCATCTTTATCATGACAATGCGTTAAATTAAATGCATTAATCCGTTTCACATTAGGCTAAAGTCGGGCATTCAGTGCGTCGTATGACCGTCGCACGACGAATACAATTTCGCTCCATTTGAGCGCTAGACAATGTGACTCCGTCTCATGATTGTGGGTGGCCGTGAACGGATCGTCATTAAAAACAATCCGTTGCGCGCGCTTCGTCGCGTTGGCGGTCTTCATAGAATCGCATTGCCCGACAACCGTCGGGCGCAGAGAGTACCCGGCTTTAAGCTACCAATAATCTAACTCACCAAAGATAAGTAAGTAGCTTTCCAATGGACACCTTTATTTATTTTTAAATAAATAAGAACAAGAAAGACTTGACGTTATTTTGATGTACCGGTATGTTATATATTTTAATAATTTTGTAATTTTGATTATATATTTTAATATATTTCACGAGTAGTATTGTTATAGAAAAAAGTTTTATTGAAAATTATATTGCAACATGTAATTGTCTTGTACTGATTCAATTAAATTACTATACACAGATTTTCCCACTAAGCATTCTGTAAAACTTACCATCTTTAAGCAGTGTACTCAAAGTCTTCGTTAATGTTCATGCAAAGAAAATTGAAACAATATTATTTAAGATTTATTTTAGGAAAAGTGTCTTGGTTGTTATATGGACATCTATTAGCCTATCATAATATTATTAGATTCAACATTGGAGATTGAGATAATAACATGTCTAGGCCTACCACACCAGGACAAGGCCTAAACCTAGGCCTATATATAATAATAAATTGTTCTTTTTACCAGTAGTATAGGCTACAATTTAGTAGTAGAGTAGAGGCCCGGTAGTTCAGTAAGTGGAGCATGGATTTAATCAATAAGAATAAGGCCTAGGCCTAAACACATTGTACAAACGGATGTGTCTGTAGAAGGGAATCGGCCTTTAGGTGTATCCCAGGTCTAGGCCACTAAGGCTTAGTCATTGAAACTTGAATAATTTGGCCTACCGACGTCCAGTATTTATTATTAATTTCATAAACCAACAACTTACTACAGCAGGTGCACTTTCAATTCCCAACCATGTTTCCATACCACATTGTTCGGCTTCCTCTTTAATCCGCATCTCTTTATTCATGATTTTGTGTACAACTACTCTTTTTAACTCAATATTCAAAAAAATATATAATAAATATAATGATTATTAAAATGAATACTGTTCCTTTCCTTCCCTGTAGCAGCTTAGCATTTTTCGTATTTCGCGTAATTTTGTAGTGCGCGTGCACATGCGTGCCTCATTGCGGCGCTTACCCATCATGCAGTTCCTTGTGTGCGAAGTTTTAGTGCGAAGTTTGTGCAAAGGTATAAACTTATCGGTATTCGTTACGCTTCGGGGGTGGGGGGTTTCTTTGGCTAGGAGTCAGTAACTACAACTGGTTACTTTGCTCATCCTCGTTATTTGTTTCAGTTAGGTCATGGTTAGGACAGGGTTAGGACAACTTCGGGTCTATCGCGAGTCGACGGGCTATCGAAATAACATGATGCAAAATGGCTTAATCCTAGGCTAAACGAAACTATTAATAGCTGATTAATTCTTAAAAATTAAATATTATTTCCATAAATTCCGGTATTAAATTAATAGTAAGCTTAAAGTGATACACACCAAATCGTAAAAAATGGGTTCAGGACCATTCACATCAAATTCGTACGATTTCCAATCTGGACTCTCGATCCAGAGCGATGGACCTCAGAGCCATGGCATTGTGTAGTGAAATATTATTTTTTCCTCATTAGACCTAAACAGTCGCCTCTTAATGCTCCGTCATTTTTATAACAGCAGACTACGTCGACTGCAAAAAAAAAAAAAAAAAAAAAGAATGGAACAAAATTAGCGTACAAAAAGTACCGTACCTATCTAATCGAAGTAAATAAAATCACAGAGCACCACCTGTGGACACTATACACAATAGCCGAAGGTCACATACCATTACCAGCATGATGATTAAGTCACCTGCATGTGACGTCATGAAAGCGCAAACCGAGCGCTAATACATGTATTGTTACATAGGCCTAGGCTATAATATGGAGAAAAAAACAGCATACTCTCCATGCACGATATTCCGTAGTAAATTACCGGAGATAAACACATCATTATTAAAGTATATATATATATATAATCATCAAAGAAAGGTAAATACAGTGTTCGAACAAAGGACATAATAATACATCGTGTAGCATAGCTCGCAACGAATGTAGTCCTGTAAATAAATGAATAAAGAAATTGTGTAATAAAATCCCTCTGGCGGGACACGAACCTGCGACCTCTCGCTGTCAAGGCGAGCGTCATAACCATTA